CTTAACTTGTTTGTAAAAATATAAGCTCTAGCTATCCAGACACATCACTTATAGAAATAACATATTTCCTGTACTAGCCAGATTGCTTTTTGAGCAATACGAAGCCACAAAATCAAAGTTATATTTAAATCATGAATGTTATGATTTCTGAGATGCACCATTTTGAGGTTTTGTTGATGAATCAATTGAAGAATTCTAAATAAGATCTTCTCACATCTAATTTTTATCCTTATTTGAAGATACTCTGAAAATCTTCACATATTTCAAATGAGTCTACCTACTTTGGGAAAGGAATAAGCTAAATTATCAGTAAGACACTGTTGTAAAGTATATGTTTAATCTGAACAATGTAATGATTAAGATGACCAACTCAAATTAAAATTATAGTTGTGTGAAAACAAATAATAAGTAAACAAAATCAATTACTCTGTAAGATCTTCTATCTTTTTTTCCACTAGAGTAGGGGGCACATTGGAAACAATGACTTGCATATCCAGCTGATTGACCACAGAGACCTGCAAGAAGATAAAACAGAATTCATTTAATTTTTACCAAAATTTCTGTAACCAAAAAAAATAACATTATTTTTTCCCTACTATACACAGACACAGTGGTTTCTAATTTTTAAATTCAAAAGCAAATATTTTTTTTTTTTTTTTTGAGACAGAGTCTCACTGTGTTGCCCAGACTAGAGTGCCGTGGCGTCATCCTAGCTCACAGCAACCTGAAACTCCTGGGCTCAAGCGATCCTCCTGCCTCAGCCTCCCAAGTAGCTGGGAGTACAGGCATGTGCCACAATGCCCGGCTAATTTTTTCTATATATATTTTAGTTGTCCAATTAATTTCCTTCTATTTTTAGTAGAGACAGGGTCTCACTCTTGCTCAGGCTGCTTTCGAACTCCTGAGCTCAAACAATCCGCCCGCCTCGGCCTCCCAGAGAGCTAGGATCACAGGCGTGAGCCACCGCGCCCGGCCTAGAATCAAATAATTTTTAAAAAATTATACAATTTCCACTAGATGTTAGAGACAAACTGGGGCAGATTGAGAATGATAAACTATTTGTTGTTTACCTAGAAATGAAGAATCCTAAGTGATTTCAACCTATTTTTTGACTTTGTGTTTGTTTTCTTGGTTATTTACTAAGAAATTAAAGGTGGAATTTTTGTTTCTTTTTAATTTGGTTATCAAAGAACATTCAGGACAGTGGAAAATACGTGTTTTAGATTTTACAAGTCTCAAGAGATCATTTATTCATCATGATTAAGAATCTGAGATATTAACGGTTAAAATAATTCATTCTATGGGATCATCATATATAGTTTTCATGTCTACTTTAAATTTGTGTAGGTAAAGATATATATGCATAGAAATATAAAATGGGCTAAAATGAGCTAATTTAATAGCTGTTGATGAATATGTCCTAATCCATTTAATATTTACCAAATTCTATGTTCTTATATAAAAAGGGAAGAAAAATAATAGCATTTATTCTGTATTTATGACATACTATTTATTTTTTCCCCTCAATATTCTACAGGTTTTAACTCATTTAAATCTAATGACAATTATATCAGGTAGTTATTAGTGTCACTCCCATTTTAAAACAAGAAAACATAAAGAGATATCTAATAACTTGGGCAGGCTATCTGATCTGAGAGCTTGTGCTCTTTATTATCACTCAATACTGATATAAAAAATAAAATAAATTCATATATTGTCCTTCACGTACATGTACATACTACTAAAATAGTGTACATGCATACACACCAGAATCATGAATTGAACACTTTGAACATTAAGTATGTTTAGCACATATCTCAATACCATTTGCAGTAGGGAATAATTTCACAATGCGATGTTTTTTTATAGGCTCTAAGTTCTCTACATATAGTGATCCTTATCCAGGGTCACAAACTCCGATGCCTTCCGAAACCAGGCTGAAAACCTAAATGAGTGAAGTAGTCAAAAGTATGAAATGCCAGGGAGAAGTGGACGTGAGGCAAATCAGAGAGCACACTACTCCTCTGAAGAGGCACTCAGCTCCAGTCAATATCACAAGGTGGAAAAAAGTCCAGATTTGCTGGATCTTTTAGTTTTTCAGGAGAAGAAATCCAAAATACTATGTAAAATGTTCACAACTAATTAGAAATCTTTAAAACTGCTGTGTGAGCCTCATATGTCATGTCTGAAGACTGTATTAAGCCAGGGGTCAGTCTGATTACCAGCTATGAGCAAGCAATTTGCCTTGGCAGTTCTAACTCTGTACCCCTAACTCATTATAGGTGTTTGGGACCAAATGCCTACAATTTTCTTAAACATGCAGATGAATCTTTATTTTGTCTTTACAAAGCACATCTGACTTCATTAGAAAAAGGGATTATTACAATTTTTGCATCACTTTGTCTTTTCTTGTTGGTCCTCAGTAAAAGAGAGAGAGAGAGAGAGAAGTTACAGAAAACTAATTTTTGTTTTATTTTTTTTTTAGTTTTTAATAGTAAAAGTACATAGCAAAAATTTCTAGAAGTATGTATATGAGACTTACGAAACTATTTCCTTCCTCCCTTCCTTTTCTCTCTCTCTCTCTCTCTCTCTCTCTTTTTTTTTTTTTTTTGGTCTTTCAATCTTGAATCAGGGGAGATTAGAAATAAACATTCTGATGAGAAGCAAACAGGCTGGAGCAAGTAATAACATAAGAGCGTTATTTCAACAAGAAGCATAATCACAGACTTCATCCTCTTCATCCATCACTGAAGCTCCCATCATCTCCTCTACCTGCTCTCTCCCCTAGACTCAGAAGTGCTGGAGTCACAGCCTCAGGGAAGAAGAGCTATCCCAGTGAATTGGTGCTAAAGCACTTCTTAATTCCACTATCTATTGGGAAGAGGCTCAGGGGGACATGGGCTATGGATAGGGTGAGCAGAGGGAGGCATTAGTGGGATATTTGAAAAGGGAAGAGACTGAGTAGGAGTAATAAATTCTCATTTCTGGTTCCTTTCATACAGGGCTGCCATGGCTGTCTGTCCTCTCCTCACAGCTGTCTCCTGGTCTGGTAAACATGTGCTTCCTCTCACCTTTTCAAGCTTGCAGGCTGTAAGAGATCCTTGCTATTACTCTCCTCAGGAGACTTCACTGTCTCATTTTCCTACATACTTCTTGCCCATACCTTCAGGAATAGACACTTCATTAAACCTTCCTCAAATTATCTTATTTTCATGTGCATGGATTTTCTGCCAGACTCTTACTGATACAGATTCAAAAAAATCATACAAGTATGTCTTACGCTGTATATACCATAAAGAGGTCTCACTTTACAAATCTTATATTAGATGTGAACAAAAATGAAAGTGGGCAGAGAACTAATTAGTAGAAGTAGATTCAGCAGCCACACGGGATAACCAAACATAAGTTTTCCCACCTTAGGGAAGAAACAGGATTTAATCAGTCCCTCCTCCAGGACTGGCAAACTACATTGTGTATACCCAACAGGATTTCAGAATTGGCATGGACAAGTGACTCCTGTATGTCTACAATTCTTGTCCTCTTCAAACGGGAGTTTCTATTGGATATTCCGTATTTTCTCTACCATCTTTACTGGGCAAGTGGGTTTGTCCGATCACTGGATCATCAGGAGTTCCCTCTACACCTGATAAAAAAAGGACAGAATGTAACAGCACAACACCTGAGATCCAGGTGTTATGCTTATGTGTTTGATGACACTTTGTTCTATATGTGCAGAAAAGAATGAAACGAATATCTGGTAATCAGAAGTATGGACTAGTTAGTTAGCTGTTCAACCGGCTGTTTCTGTCTTCCTACTGGGAACACAGCAAGAATAGATTTCTCAGCCTCCTTTGTAGTTTATTGGAGTCATATAATGGAATTTTGACCCACGTAAAGTCAGTGGAAGGGAAGGCAGGAATATTTTTAAATGTCTTCCATGTGTGAACTTTCCCTTTCTTTCCCAATCACCATGTGAATAAAGAAGCCATAGAGAAGAGCAAAGACACAGGAATAAAGAAGCTTGAGTCTCTGAATCTCCACTTACAGAAGGGCTGTCAAGACCACCAGCCAAACATGTACACTCTCATTGGGTCATATGAGAGAAAAAGAAAGTTTGTTAGGTTAAGCCATTGAAATTTTGGAGTTTTTTTTTTTGTTGTTGTTGTTGTTGTTACAGTTAGCCTACCATACAAATATACAGGGATCTATTGCCACATGGCTATTAGAGTCTTACTAACTATAAGGCAATGAAAAACTAGAATGTTAGTTGTATGTGGGCACAGGGAATTGGGAGATGTTCCCTTTGCATAAATATATTCTGATTTTCAGCAGCTGCTTTACAAGTAAACTTTTGGAATGCAATCAATTTATATGTTAGGGCAGTGGTCCCCAACCTTTTTGGCACTGGGGACCAGTTTCATGGAAGACGATTTTTCCATGGACTGGGAGTCTGGGGGTGGTTTCAGGATGATTCAAGTGCATTACATTTATTGTGCAGTCAAACCTCTCTGCTAATGATAATCTGTATTTGCAGCTGCTCCCCAGCACTACCATCACTGCCTCAGCTCCACCTCAGATCATGAGGCATTAGATTTTCATAAGGAGTGCACAACCTAGATCCCTTGCATATGCAGTTTACAGTAGGGTTCAAGCTCCTATCAGAATCTAATGCCACTGCTGCTGATCTGACAGGAGGCGGAACTTATGCTGTGTGATGGGAACAATGGAGGGGGGGCGGTGGCTGTAAATATAGATGAAGCTTTGCTTGTTCTACCTCTGCTCACTTCCTTCTGTGCAGCCTGGTTCCTAGCAGGCCACTGACCAGTACCGATCCATGGTCCAGGGGTTGGGGACCACAGTGTTAGGAGACTCTATGTAGAAACAAAAGTTTGGTTTTACAATTATAAGTAATTCTATCATTTGCCTTCAAAGGACAGTCAGTGTTTTCTCTTCATTCAGAAGGGTAAATTAATTATTCAAATGAAATTTTAATTTGTTAGTGAGATTTTGTGCTAAATTCTGACTAAAATAATAGGAATTAAGATTGAAAGTGCCCTGGAATGTATGCATTTTAAGTTTACTATTTAACAAAAACATTTTCTGATCTTAATAAATTTTGAAAAATACTTTTGTGTTCTTAAAATATAAAAAGAATATATGTCTAATTCTGGTAAATTAACAAAATTCAGACTGCATTTAACTCCAAAAGTAGTTGACTCACACTTACTACTGAATAGTTACTATTAAAATTTAAATCTCCTCAAAATGTTAATATCTGATTTATGTGGAACACGTGCATTTTTGACTATGCAAATGAAGAGAATAAGATATTACAGTTTACATTTTGGTCTTTCAAAGAAAGATGGTTTCTTCTATCATCTATAACAAAAATAGATGTTTTTTAACATCTTAAATGTTTAAGATTACTAGATTTTATTTGTTAACTCTAGAGATACTCATCATCTCCTGCTTAAACTGGTAACTGTCTCTGGTTGCTGCTGCAAACTCACTTTTC